GGTGCCCGCGGGCACCGTGTTGATGACCCCTGGTCTACATAAATATAAAAACACACAGTTACTTTTTTATTTATTTATTTTTTCCCAAAACAAACAAGACTGGACCTGAGAAGCAGTGAAACTTTAGACCAGCTGTCCATCCATTCACGATATRTTTTAAAATGTAGTCCAGTTGAGTGACTTTCAGTGTGCTTGTTCAGGAGAACTACAAGCTGCGGGACCAGAACGATGACCTGAACGCTCAGATTCTCAGTCTGAGTCTGTACGAGGCCAAGAACCTGTTCTCCTGCCACACCAAGGCACAGTGCCTGGCCGCTGAGATCGACAACGCTTCCAGAGACGAGGTCAGTGTCAGAGCAGGGCTGGCTGGACCAGAGGATTGTTCAGAATGTGTTTTCACCTCCTGTGCACCTGTGGGTTTTCTCCAAATACTCTGGTTTCCTCCCACAAACCAGACATTATTATTATTATTATTATTATTATTATTATTATTATTATTATTGAGAGTGAATGGTTTTGTCTCTGTGTGTCCCTGCGATGGACTGGAGACCTGTCCAGGGTGTCCCCTGCCTGGAGACACCAGCTCCCCATGACCTGGAGAGGAGAAGCGATTAAAAAAAATGACTCTAAAACAGTTTTCTTCTTTTCTGTAGCTGGTGGATGCGCTGAAAGAGCAGGAGGAGATCAACCTTCGCCTGAGGCAGTACATGGACAAAATAATCCTGGCCATTCTGGACCACAACCCCTCCATCCTGGAGATTAAGAATTGAACATTAGCACTCAGTCTTTGATCTGTGTCGATGTAATCGTACTCGTCTGCCATGAGTTCATTGTTTGCCAAGAAGTCAACAGATGATGGAGGATCGGTTTAGTGCTGCTGAGTAAAATTAAGTAGTTTTAACTTCTGATCCACATCGTTCTGGACGGTGCACAATCATTTACTATGCTGCTAAAAATGCAGAAAAGGGTTAGTTGATCTACTTTTATCAGCCTGTGTTCACTTATGTTAATGCTTCATTTTTCCGCTGAACTATAAAATCTGTTCTGTCTAATTTTAATGTTTTTTAAATGAATTACAATTCCAATGAAGTTGGGATGTTGTGTAAAACATAAATAAAAATAGAATATGATGATTTGCAAATCCCGTTCAACCTACATTCAATTAAATACACTGCAAAGACAAGATAATGTTCAAACAAATAAACTTTTTTTCTTGCAAATATTCACTCATTGTGAATTTGATGCCTTCAATACGTTCCAAAAAAGCTGAAACAGGGTCATGTTTACCACTGTTGCATCATCTTTCCTTCTAACAACACTATAAGAGTTTAGGAACTGAGGACACTGATTGTTGAACCTTTGTAAGTTGATTCTTGATTGATGTAAAACTTCAGTTGCTCAACAGTCTGGGGTCTCTATTGTTGTTTTTTAGTCTTTATAATGCTTCACACATTTTCAATGAGAGATAGGTCTGGACTGCAGGCAGGTCAGTCTAGTACCTGCACTCTTTTACTACAGAGCCACACTGTGCAGAGTGTAGCTTGGCATTGYCTTGCTGAAAAAAGCAGAGACATCCTTGAAATACACGTGGCATTAATGATGTCTTCACAGATGTACAAGTTACCCATGCCATGGACACTAATACACCCTCATACCATCAGAGAGGCTGGCATTTGAACTTTGCACTGATAACAGTCTGGAGAGTCTTTTCCTCTTTGGCCCAGAGGACATGACGTCCATGATTTCTAAAACCAATTAGAAATGTGAACTCATCAGACCACAGGACTCTTTCCCACTTTTCATCAGTCCATCTCAGATGAGCTCAGGCCGGAGAAGTCAGCTGTGTTTCTGGATGTTGTTGATATCTGTCTTTGTCTTTACTTGGTAGAGTTTAACTTTCACTTGTAGATGTAGAGACAAACTGTTCACTGACAAGTGTTCCTGAGCCCATGTGGTAATATCTGTTACAGAATGATGTTGGTTTTTAATGCCATGCCACCTGAGAGCTGGAAGGTCATAAGTATTCAATGTTAGTTTTCATCCTTGCTGCTTCCCTGCAGAGATTTGTCCAAATTCTCTGAATCTTTTGATGATATTGTGGACTGTAGATGAAGTCCCTAAATTCCTTAAAATTGTACATTGAGAAACTGTTGGCATATTTGCTCACACAGTTGTTCACAAAGTGGTGAAACTCGTTCCATCCTTGCTTGTGAACAACTGAGCCTTTCAGTGATGCTCCCTTTACACCCAGTCATGACACTCACCTGTTTCTAATGAATATATATCTAACATGTTTTCTGAGCATTCCTCAACTTTCTCAGTCTTTTGTTGCCCGTCTCAGCTTTTCTGAAATGTGTTGCAGGCATCAAATTCAAAATGAGTAAATATTTGCAAAAAACAATAAAGTTCATCCATTTGAACATTAAATATCTAGTCCAGGGGTGCCCAAACATTTTCCCCGAGAGGGCCAAAATGAAAATCTATCCAGGGCTGCGGGCCAAATGCAGTTATAT